GCCCCGGGGGTGCCGGCATGCGGCGCGCGCTCTGCATGCCCGGGCAGGCGCTGGGGCCCAGGGAGTGGGTTGGCGCCAGCAGCCCTGCCATCCGCTCCGGACGGTGACTATTAACATCGCTTCTACGTGTTGATCCTCATGGAGCTAGCAGTGCTGCTTCCCCCTACCCCAATAGCCTCGCTCCTGATTGAAACCCTGAAGCTTTACCGTAGCGTAACATTTACGCCGGTTCCTATAACGTACGGCTCCAACACGTTACCTGTGCCGCTGTAATGGTAGGCTAAAGTAGTGCTCCCTTGTAAATCTTTTACCTCGCCTTTTATTTGGTAGTTAAGTCTGCTATGCTGCTTGCTTGCTCATGGATAAACATGGTGCTGCCTTGTATTTTTGCCTTCTACTGATTTTTCTTTTTTCCTTTCTCTCTTTCCTTTTCTTCTCCCTCCCTTATACCCATCCACCATTCAGGGACTTCCTCAAGCTGTACTTCCCCCATTACCAAAGAGGCCTGCGCTTGAAAAAACCAATGGTGCCACTGCAGTCTTTAACACTGGTATTTTCCAATACCAGCAAGCTCTTGCCAACATGCAGTTACAGCAGCATACAGCCTTTCTCCCACCAGGTAAGTGCTTCTCATTTGCCTTTTTCTGGGGAGGGAGAAGGGGGAAATTCTGGAAAAAAGATGCTAGGAAATAACCATTTGTTCCTGCCAGCAAATGCATAGAGGTATTTGCACGGCGGCCGCTAGTGCCAGGTGCAGGCAGCCTCTCTGCAGGCTGAGACACTGCCGTGCCTGGTGAGACGCGGGCAGAGGAGGTGCTGACTGCAGGAAGGCTGGCTTCTCTCTGCTTCTCTCGGAAGCTGGGTGGGTGTTTTCCAGTCTAATATAAAAATCAGTGTCATGCTCTGTCATCCCAAATCAGAATTTGAAATCTACTCTCTCGTTCCTCTTTTCCTTGATTAACTTCTCTTCATTACACATCTCTTAAGCTGTTGTATTTGTTTCTGTTTGCTGTAAGACCCCTTTGCCTTCATGTGCTTAACAACAGTTGTTCTGAGTCACACACTTGAAGGTTTTGATTTTAATTATGGTGCAGTGATTGTAAAAGGCACAGGCAGGCAGTCTTGCAGATAGGCTAATCATGAACCTACACAAGAAATCAAGGTTCAGGCTTCTACCACTAAAGCCTCGGGGCCGATTTGATCTAAGCAGAACCTAGGTGCATTTGCTTTTATTCAAGAGCGATCAAATCTATACTCGTCCTAGTGTAATTGCTGAGGAATTGATGCCTGTACTATTTACATAAGCAGAAATCCCTCTGAAATAAATGGGACTTCAAGTTGGAATATATGTTTTGGTTCTGCAAACAGCACTTCATGAAAAATTATATATCTAGTATGTCATGCGAATTTACACCTATATTAACACAGCTGAGTTAGTGTTTTTACATGTGAACCCACATTAAAACAGCACTATCATTCTAGGAGGTAAGTGATGAAACGCAGAGGACATTTGGTAAATCTGTACTCAAAATACTGGAGTCTGTGAGGACAGCCCTTCGTAATGCTGACTAGCTGAGGGGAAGGGAGAAAAGAAAATACAACCATTCAATCTTTACCAAAAAAATTTAAGGATTTTATCCCAGTTTTGGTGGGTATGTCCCCAGGTATAATGCCCTTAACCATTCTTTCTTGATGGTACAATCTGGCATACAACCAACATACGTAATTTACATAACACAAAGATCAGTTGCTGCTGTAGTACATTGTAATAACTTACCTAGGTCCCAAAAATGCATCGCAACCACTGAAATATATTAGTAAAAGCTGGTTGCAAAGCTTGTTGGGATCAATAGAAAGACTCTGGTTGAGTAAGCTTTAGGTCAGGTCTCTAGCCCACATCCTAAAATTCAAATAAAAATGCTTGTGCAATCATGGTCATTCCTGTAGATATTAAACAATTTCACAGATTTGTTTTGGCAAAGCATAACTGATGTAGTTAGTAAACCATGCAATTTTCCAGATTCCATTAAATCAGCAAGGGGCTGGATTATTTCTGGAAGTACTTGAGCTTCTTTGAATCATGCGCTTTGTACTTAGAAGCTGGGGTTAAGGTTTGTGTGTGTCAGACCTCACTTGCACTACATCATTGACTGGGATCTTTCACGTTGGCACTTACAACCTACCTCAGCTCTTCCTCTAGCAAATCTATACTGAAACCTACAGGAGTTTGTGCAGTGGTTCTTGATGCTTCATTTGATCTATCTTGACCACTGAAGTTCAGTATATGTTAAACAAGAGGAGTAAAGGATTTTTTAGCATGAGCTACTGTAAGTTATATTTTTATATTTTTCAAATAGCAGCAGTTTGAGCTTTCTAATAATCCAGTCCTTTTCCAAAAGTTAGAAAATTTTACTCACCACCTTGCCCTTCTTAGTTTTCCCCCCTTTAAATTAACTAGTGTCAGCCCTGTTTGTGCATAGTCATCTGGAAATAGAGTTTCTTCGTTAGTCCCTAGGAACCGACAGGACTGCAGGAGTGCACTGGTAGGACACAGCATGCATGCCCTCAGCTCCACTGCCATGGAGCAGAGGCAGGTTAATTCAGCGGGGTCTGAACTAAAGAGACATTTTTCAGGTTCGGACGCCCAAAGTGTAATTACTCACATGTGTTCTTAGTTGCTTCAGCGGCAATTTATGAAAATGAAGGAGGTCTGGAGGGCAGGACACTTGCAGAACCTACATGGTACAGGTGTGTACCCCTATAGAGGATCCTGACAGGACCCTCCTCTCTGTGGGGCACTTCACTCCTGATGCTTCACCCTTGAGAGTTTTCCACTCATGTTCCAGACAAACCCAGAAACCTTTTCTAAATTGTAAGGCTTAATTCTGGTTGCCTGTATGCAAGGGTATATGAAAGCAAATGAAGGCTTGTCCATGCCAGAGGATGGACACTGGTGCTCCAGCACACCATAAATGATTATATTCTCCTAAATACTCATCTCACCACTCTCAAACAGAGCTCCCTCTTTCTTTGCACGGCTCCCCATTGAGGTCTCCCAGAAACCTTGGCTGCTGGAAGCTGTCCCCAGACTGAGAGAAGAGTCTAAAAGATGTTGCAAGAAAGAACTGGGAACACTTGTGGTGTTGGCTAGTTGAAATAAGTGGAGTTAGTCTGCCGAATGAGGAGGCTCTGCACGACTTAATAGGTGTTCACAGCTTGTTTTGGTACTTCAGTCCTGGCTGCCAAATCTTGAAGCCTTGGCAGACACGTGGGCAAACATTTCGCTGGGGGGCTGTGAACTTGCAGAGCACCGGTTACTTGGCGTTCACTACTTCTGCACGTGCTCTTTGTCCTGCAGGAACTGTGAGCTGGCTGGGGTTATGTTTGTACATGCAGATAGAGAGCTCCTGTGTGCAACCAAGTGAAATTCATGCCCTGGTGCTTGTTACCATCCTGTGCCTCAGCTCAGTGTCGCCTCAGTTGTGCTGATACAGCTGTTCCTGGCCTGTGCGTGTAAACTGGGTGACCATACAGTCCTTGAGAAGGGTAATCCTCCAAAAGAAACGAGTCAGGTTTACAGGATACTCCCAGGAGCTGTTGTCCTGATGCACCTGCAAGGGGCAGAATTGCAGCAGGCCGGCTGAACCACGTAGCCAGCAGTGGCGAGGCTTCAGCCACCTCTGCCGTTAAGTTAACGCATTGCATATTTATTTAGTTACTGCAGCTTCGGCTCCAGAGAACTTAACTTGCTCATCATTGGGACTCAGTCAGTGCACAGATGCTTTCCTAAAGCGATGTCAGTGTAAGCACCTTCCTCCACGGGGCTTCTGGGTCTGTGTAAAAACACTGCTCTCCTCCAGAATATTTGGGAGGGAAAGATCAGGCACAACTGTTCACCTCGACAGGAGTGCTTATGCTGTCTGTGATGATATTTTTAATTAGGGTTTAGTAGACTGGACAGAATAAATAGACTGAGGGGAATAATATGAGGGGAAAAAAGAGAAAAAAATGCTTAAAACACCAGTAAACCTAGAATACTTATAAAAATAGCTTTATTCCACTGCAGAACTAATCTGGTTGTGAAGTTATGATCAGTTAACTGAGCACATCCTTGAATTAAAATTCTGCCTTGTGCTGAAAAGCTAGGGAACAATTGAAACTGCGCATTTATTATTCATGCATTCTCATTAGTCAGTCAAAGCTTCGGAAGTCAAGATGGATATTAGGGTCATAGCAAAAATGATTTTTATTACTGGTAAGAGGGTCATACAGCATTATGTCTTCATATTTGCAAGTTATTGCACCCTAGCTAGTATTTTCATTTCTGCCTTATGTTCATTTGCTTCGATTCCCTTTCCAAACTGTGTGCGCTGGTTATAATGTTAATGATGATAACTCAGACTAAAATTTTGAGCTGAAAAACTTTACAAAGAAATTTCAGACTCATTATGAAAATCTAACTCGTCTTTAACATGTAGACCTAATTATGCATGGAATGACATAATATTCCAGATCTAATGAAGTATGTACAACCTTACAAATAGGGCACTTCTGCAGAGAGACAGAACTCAAAAGTTCTTCTGTGTAACCTCATTAACACCATAGAGGTGTCACAAGAGGGACCAAGAAAGCAGTTTTACTTATTGTTTTTACTTTATAGCCAAATTTTGCTCCATTTTTTTTAATCTTGCAAGTGGTCCCATTGACTTCTCCCGTGATCCATGCATGGGCAAGTCAGAAAACCTACCTTTCTTTGTGAATATTTTCGGTCTCTTCCGTGACACAGAAATAGAAGAGTAATTAGGAAACATGATTATGCCCTTTTCTTTGTAGCCTTGCAGATACCGTGATGACAGAGAATAACCTTGTCCCCAGCAGTAATTATACTGACAGCCTTTTTCCCTGCTTAGTTAAATGCTCTTGAGACTGTGCAAGCCACTACAATGCTTGGCACCAGCTAAAACAATTTCCTGTCCCCCTTGTTATGGTCACGTAATATCAAGGAAGCAGCATTGCCATGGCTCTCGCTGGCAGTCTTCTAGACTATGTTTTTATTTCCACTCCAATCTCAGTTCCCAGATTTCAGTTTATTTCAATTTCTGCTGTGTCAGGCATAATTAGCAGTGTTAATAAGTATTATTTGTTACAGAAGAAAGTAAATCGTTTGTTAAAAATGGATACTCTGAAATATCGGTGTATCTTTATCATTTGGGAAGCAAAAATGGAAGATTCTGAGTTCAGTCTGGTGGAAGGCATTTTACTATGTAAAGTAAACAGAGTTACCAGCTTAGTGATAGTTAAAAAATGACACCATAATGTTCCTAAAACCACCATACTGCTGTTGGCTCTCTAGTTGCAGGGCAGAATTCAGCAGGTGCTGGCACTTCAGTTATTTTTGTGTAGCCTAAAGAGAGTTACAGGTTGCGAGCCCAGATGCCAGCAGCTTAAAATACATCCAATAACGTAGTAAAAAATGCTGAACCTATTCCTAGGTGCTGCCATGAGCTGCATGGGAGACTTTAGCTATTCAGTCACTCCTCTGACCTGCATATTAAGTAAACGGACCAGAGGACAGTCAGGATCGCTTCCATTTCACCGGCAGCTCACAGGGGTCATACAGATACAACAAAAGTACTGCACGCCAAATTCCCCTGAGTTTTGCCTATACGTTACCTAAATATTGGAGCAGTCAGACTGCAGCTAATGAACAGTATAGATCAAGTCATTGCTCTGCGAGGAGTCATTGCTCCAGCCCATCCGAGAGGGGCCCCAGCTGAGAAAAGGCTGCCCTAGCAGGAGGAGAGAGCCTCGCTTGCCTCCTCTGGCCGTCTGTCTTCCCTGGGCAGAGCAAGCCTTGCGCCCCGCTTCCCCAGCAGCAGCAGGGAGAGGGCACAATGGTGCTGGTCCCCCGCTCCCGCTACTCCCTGTGTCCCGCTGTGCTAGCAGGGGTGGATCTCAGGTACCTGTAGGCAGGTGCAACTTCAAAGTGCTGTAATCTGAGGAAACTGGGGTAAAGACTATTACAAAGCTTATGTCAAAAGGCAAAAAGATGTAAGACTAAAAGAGTTTTAAAATAAAGCTAAAGAAATTTTTCCTAGCCATGCTAATATCCCATGGTGCTACAAAGGCACGATATACCAGCACACAGTTCAACCAGCTCTTTCCCCTTCACTGAAGACTAGTTCTAATGGATCACTGTGCTATTGTATGGTTTGATTGTGCTGACAGTTACATGCCACTGTTCCCATAATAACAATTTTTCTTCTTTGTTCAAATGAAATTTTCTAATTACACGTGTGATGGGTTGTTTTAATTCTTTTCCCTTTCCAAATCCACCTTCCTGTTGCAATGCATGATGGGCAGGCTCAATATTGTGCATGACACCCGCTACAAGTGTTGGTAGGTGCCAGCTTTGTTTCTTGATTATCTTAAACCTGTGGTGCAGCTCACGGACCCTCAAAATCCACTGCTAGATTTTAACTTACAGCTCTTGTGCCAATCCATCTCCCTTAGCCTCCTGCACTAACACCTGTCAATTAAATGCAGTTGTTTTATTTAATTGACATGGACACATAGACGTTGTTAATTTTGTATAGCAGTTGTTTGAATTGCACATTGTTCCTTGGTGGATTTTGATTGGACTATGAGTTCCAGTGTTTAGAAACTATCTTGTGTTAAATAAAGACTGTATCATACTATAGCCACGTAGACGTATACTGTCCTTCAACAAGATTAATTTTTGTTTGCAGTAAATATTTGGGTTGAATTCTTAAAAGACAAAAATTTGTAAATATAAAGGCGTTTAAAAAGTCTTCTGTTGATTTTTGTATTGAAATGGTTAAGCTTGTTTGTGTCGATTTTCTTGATTTGATGGTAACAAGCATTTTCCCCTTTTTTTCTCTTTCATTTCCCTCCCCTCTTTCTCCCTGGAATGTTGTCCTGCTTTGCACTGTGATTGCATGTCACGCGCTGGCAATGATGTCTCGGGCTTTTTGCTGTGATAAATACCATGCTCAATTATCCTACCACATGTCGCTCTGGTTCCCATACTGCTACACTCTTCTGTATGTTTGCTTATATGATTTTCCTTCCGAAAGTTCCCATGGTGCACGGTGCTACGCCAGCCACTGTGTCTGCAGCAACAACATCTGCCACAAGTGTTCCCTTCGCTGCAACAGCCACAGCCAACCAGGTTTGCTAATTTACAGCTTTGTTCCTTACAGACAACTTGAAATCGGTGCTTTTAATGAGCATGGGGGTTTTGATTTTACCTCTTGTTGGCCTACACATTCTCTCTAAGACCTGCAGCATAGCTTAATAAGCCTTTATCCATGCTCAAAAGGTGCTGCAGTTCCATTTCTGATGCTAAAAATAATTGATAATAGAGTTTCTGACTCAGTCTTAACATTTATGGGCCGTGCTGCTTATTTCTGCTCTCAGAGATGTAAAGAGAAAGGGATAATACATGGAACCCATTATTTATTTCTATTTCTGTGAAGCCGACAGTTCCTTTTAGTGCAGAACTCCAGTGAAAGCCAGTAAAACCTTTGTGCAGAGAGGTTGCAGGATCAGAATTTTAACAGTCTGAATTGAGGAGTCTGAACGTGTTCTGACTCTCCTCTTCCAGGAGCAAAACAAAAACGTTTGAGCATGGGCCACACAGAAACTTCTTTTAAACCTTTTTTTCAGCTTGTGGTTCTGCTGGAAAAGGCCGATTACTCGTTGCGGTAGACAGACGTCAGTTAAGAAAATGTCCATTAGTGTCTGGTTTTATTTCTAAATAGCTACCCCGATTGCTGCCGTGTTTGGATGTATTTCAGGAATGAAAGAATAGTGCTGTACTAAATAAGTGATTAAAAGTCCTCCCTGAAAAGGTAGAAACTATGCTCCAGAGAGGATTACCAGGGCCCAGAGAAGCTGCACCTGAGAACAGAACACAGCCTGTTGGTTTTATCTAGCTGGGTTGTCAAAAATGCAGATTTCTGTAGTACACCTTTCAGCTGAAAGTGCAACGGCAAAAACTTTTAAAAGGCCCTTTTCTTTCTCTTACAAAAACAAATGATTTTTTGAGATTTACTAGGAAGTTAGACTTGCCTTATGAAACCATCAGGTCTGGTCTAATATGCAGGTATTACTCTTGACTCAGTGGGAATGACACACTTGCCTTTTCTAAAAGGGAACTAAACATTTGCTTTGGCGTTTTGCAGGTGTGGTTCTGCACGTGGAACTAATTCTGAGGATAAATGTCAGTTTCTAAGGCAGGCTCACCTTACATGCTCGGCTCCCAAATTCATTAGAGCTAACTCCTTCAACAATTTCAAAATCCCGTCGTAAAGTTGTCAGGTTTGCAGCTGCAGTTGGACATTAAGCAGCAATACCCGTGCCCTGCTGCACCTGCACCTCTGTGCTTGGGGCGGATGGCGCCGGCCCTGCGGAGCCAGGAGCCCCCAGCCTCGCTGCAGCACATTGGGCGCTGCGCTGCCATTGAGGGTACCACGTGCTGCAGGCTCTCGCAGGATTAAATCCAGAGTCTTTGGCTTTGAGCCTTTCCACCTTTGCCTGTTGAGCACTACCATTTTGTACTGCGCCCAGCTGTACGTTCTTTGTTAACCTGTCTGCTTACTGACCTCTCAAAAATATTATTCCAAAAATTATCCTGTTGCAGTGACATATAGGCATGCACATCCTGAGTCTCAAAAGGGAACTGGATATTTTACAATTCCAAAAAATACTCAGGTTAGTCTGCTTAGCAAGTAGCACTTCGTGCTCTCGAGTAGTGTTTGCTGAGTGACCATGTCACTCACGGATTTAAACCACCGTAAGAATTACTTTGTGTTTTGAAAAGCTAGTTTATAGGTATGACTACCTCTGCATACGTGTCACTTAAGCAAGCAACCACTTGTATGCCCAAAGTTTCCTAATATTGTAATTTATTGCACCATACCATTAATTTAAGTGTCTCTGTATCCTCCATAAGTCCAGAGAGTTGTGAGAACAAGCCAAGCCACAGAAAAACACCATTATTTTTTAAAATCATCTCTGTCTAAATAACCATGCACTTTCCCAAATAGATTACAGGGAAACTTTCTGTTGTAGAATCTGATCATTTCATGCATATCCTCCCTGGAGCCTCATAACATACTTAGTAAAGTACTGCAGCCAAACCTCGATATATACATATATAACGAATATATGTATATACTATGTGAGCAATGCTGAAATTATTTAATGCCACACGATGCAATGTGCATGCATGCCAAAAGTCTTAAGATCTGGCCCTTCATCTTCATTGACTGGTGTTGAAGGTCCTTGGTATGTTCCGACAGCACTATCCCTGATGCTTCTACACAGTTGGGTGCAACAGCCTGTCCTGCAGCAGTAGAAAAAAATGGTATGAGAAGCTTCATTATGCTTGAAGCACATTTCTGTACAAGTTGGCAATGTTGTAGAGTTGTGTGGAGTTGCTAGGGGAGGAGAGGGCACAAGGGGTGGAAAAACCGACACCAAGACCTGTAATGATTTAGTTAAGAGGAAACCTCCCTGTTCCCTTTCTTGTGCAGATTAACAGGTCAGCCTTCCTATCCACTAGGAAAAAAAGTCTTTTCAAGTGCAGCAGCCATTTGGGATGCTACAAATCGATTTTGTGTCATACGCTCCAGCATGTTTCCCTGTACACGGGCGCATCTATTTGCCCCCTCCAGCCGGACTTCTGGTCCTGTCTGTAGTGCAGGGCTGCTCATGGTTCCTCCAACACCTGCATGCTTTAGCGTTGTCCCTTCTCAAGGGCCTGACCTGCGAGGCCCGTTTGGGCTCGCTCTCATAGACTTCAGCCTGTCCCCTGCACACAGAGGGTGGGACCCAAGGATGGGATGTAGAATATGAGTTTATTTGTACTGCTGGTAATCTACTCTGATTTTAATTATTTTATTTTTTTTTTAAATGGGAAGCTGAGTTGATGGGGCACTTCAAGAGAGCCCTGTGGTGAATTCTGTTTACGCAAATGAACATTTTGAGAATTGTTTCACTGCTCTGGGGAGTCTCAGCTTTTCAGCTGATCCACTGTGATGCCCGCAGCGGCCGTAGGAAGAGCAGGCAGCTCTTCTCAACAGGGGATTTTCACCAGCCGTGAAAATCAAGCTCGGGACATCTTAGGTTTGGCATTCAAAAACCAAGACAGTGAAAGCAGTGAACACTTCACAAAATCAGACTGAACAAGGCCACTGTAGAATTTATCATTTTAAATGATACACCGAAAGCACAGAATTTTGTGTAGGCCAACAAAAAGGGCTATCTATTTTCAATTACTGCACTGCATGACTTTTGTAGATTTTAACTTCTCTTATTTCCTAAACAACCAATAATATTTATATTTGTCAAGTAGTACTTAACATGACATTTTCCAGTTTTAAGTTGCTACTGTAGCACTTCAGTTGACTTTAACTTACAGTTACAATATAAAATCCACCAACTCACAGCTGATCCTCACTTTTCCAAACTTATGTTCTATAGCAAAATGCTGTGTTTCTGGGTTGGCTCATTGCACATGTTATTCATTGTTTACATTTTTTACCTATAGATACCCATAATATCTGCCGAACATCTGACTAGCCACAAGTATGTTACACAGATGTAGACATTTTGTCATCAAACAGTAAGTTCCCAATGCCTTGTTGCTCTATTTTCAATTACTGCACTGCATGACTTTTGTAGATTTTAACTTCTCTTATTTCCTAAACAACCAATAATATTTATATTTGTCAAGTAGTACTTAACATGACATTTTCCAGTTTTAAGTTGCTACTGTAGCACTTCAGTTGACTTTAACTTACAGTTACAATATAAAATCCACCAACTCACAGCTGATCCTCACTTTTCCAAACTTATGTTCTATAGCAAAATGCTGTGTTTCTGGGTTGGCTCATTGCACATGTTATTCATTGTTTACATTTTTTACCTATAGATACCCATAATATCTGCCGAACATCTGACTAGCCACAAGTATGTTACACAGATGTAGACATTTTGTCATCAAACAGTAAGTTCCCAATGCCTTGTTGCTTGCAGTTTTCTTACCTATATATGTGCATAATTTGTCTTTTTCAGGGACAGAATGTTTTTTATTTTCTTTCTAAGAAAACTAATAAAAATACGGGGGGAGAGGCTCTGAATTCCACTGACATGCCATTCTGCTCTGAGTGGAGATCCCGTAGTTAGCAGGGACCACCTCAGCTAGTGTGTCAGACCAGATGTTGGTATTAGTTTGTACATATAGAAGGAACATATTATACACGTGGATAAACTTCTGAATGGCAAAATCAGAGAGTCTAAAACTACAGTTTTATGTTTTGTTTATAAAGGATGATGGCTCTAGCACTGATGTGAGTCAGGTCTAAGGGGGGGGGGGGGGGGGGGGGGCTGGTGGGGGGCGGGGAGGGGGGTTGGGGGGGGGGGGGGGGGGGGGGGTGTGCGGTTATGTTAAGCTGTCTTTAGAAAGAATTAAACCTCCAAATTTGGAAAGCCAGCATCTCTGAAAATACAGATCTAGTCGTCTGCCTAGCTGAAGCCTGATTTCTCTTCAACACAACTTGTCAGGTTACGACGGGTGATAGGGCAAGGAGAGGTCCCACGGTGCAGGCGCAGTTCATACCTGCATTCTGTTGGTGTGAACGGCGATTGCAGTGTGTGTCAGTTTTTCATACTGTAACCTTTCATCCCACAAAGTCTGAAATTTAGGTTTCTGTGCCTAAGCTTGAGACATTTTTTCCCCTGTATCTTTGTATGAGTATGCTGTAGTTTCCAGTCTGTCACTAAATTGCCTGTTGTCATTAAGGCCACCCGCAGCACGTCACCTCCCCTAGGACAGCTTGTCATTTGTACTACCTTTCTCTCCCTTGCACTCCATTTCTGTTCTGTTTTTTGTTGAATGGTTCAGGCGTAATGGAATTATCACTTAGGGTGAGGATTAACTGATTTGCCACAGTGGGTTTATAATAATAGTTATTCCTTTCCGCTTAGCATAAACATTTGTACGTTGCTTAAGTGACTCAGGTGGGTTGTCTCTGGTCTGCAGCCTAAGCTTGCTTCCCTCCACAGTCAGCTGAGACTGGGGTGTCCCCATTTTAGGGACTGTCTGGAGGTGGAGGAGGAATCACTCTCTAGAGGTGTGATAGACAATAGAGACCAGGAAAATAGCTACACTGGATGGGCAGTTAAGTAAGAAAAATGACCTTGGGAGCATAGGACCTGGATTTCTAAGGCTGTTTAGGTGCTTCCCAGATACTGGTTGGGCTCCCAGGTTTTGCAGAGCAGCGGCAGCAGGGCCTGGGAAGAGAGAGGAGCCCAAGGCTGCTGCACACAGCGCTTTGTGGGGAGCTGACTCCCAGGGTCTGGGCTCTGGAAACTCTCCCCCGGATTCTGATCCTTTGTCTGGGGGCTCGGGAAAGCAGGAGGCCAGTGTGTTGTGCGCTTTTATTGCTGTAGAAATTGGGTGTAAAGTGAACCTCTGCTGCAGGAATGTTACTGAAGGGAAATCCTGCGGGGTTTGGGCACAAGCTTCCCCGATACTTGGTGGCAGATTTCGCTGCTGCAAATGCAAAGTTTGAGCTGATGTGGCGCTAACAAGAAGTTATGACAGTGTTGAAAATGCTTTATCTTTTTTTTTTCCTTTCTAGATCATAACTAAAGAGAAAAGGACAGTGTGTTTGGGTTGAGAAGAGGACAAGCTCATTAGCCATAATGTATATACTATCAAGCAACACTCGGAAACTCCCTCAGCAGTAAGACATCCACACATTGCATGTTAACGAGATGAAACAAGAACTTGGAAATCCACTGCACACTGTTGCCTATATACTTTGTACATTTAATTGATATTTGTGCTGAGGTGATCTTATTGTCTAAAAACTACAACATTGTCTATCTTTTCTAGCACAGAAGTATGCATATGGATTTGAATATGCATATGTAGTCTATTTCCTACATAATCATGTATGTCACCTTGAAAAGACAGACGATGATGTAACCATAAATCTATTATGTATTGGTACGTCTGTAGACCAAGATATAATTTTTTAAAGTAAGTTTATTTCTTTCAAGGTTTACAAATAACAAAGGTGCACCTTGTATTTAAAATTGCCATTATAGATGAGAGCGTGCATGCACAGTAATTTTTGTTTAAGAGTAATATTTTTAATGTAATAGATTGTAAGAAGTGGTAAGAGAGGTATCTGACAGAGATGAATGTGCCAAGCAAAACCACAACTGTGTATATTTTAAAGCACATCAATGGCTTTAAATACCATGTTGTTAAGGATTCTCATGAAGTGCCATAGACTGTACATCTGTTTAGAGTATTATTTCTGCAGTGTTATTTTCAGAACCACGTTTTCACTTACTTTATTAGTACTAATCAGTCAAAGGGCACCATTCTGTTTCAAACCAAAGCTGTCTCAGAAATGGCCAACGATTCCTTACAGTAACAGTAGACAGCACAAGGAAGATACTCTAGCCGTACAAATTAACCCATACTGGACATATATATAAACTATTTTAAGGCATCGTAGTGTAATATTTATGCATATTTTACTGTATAACGTGATATATGAAAGGGAAAAGCCATTTCTGAGACACAGTAACAAATGTTTGAGGAACTTCTTTTGCTTCTATTTATAGCCTCTGTCGAAAGTCAAAAGGACTATAAATGTTTTGCAGAGATGGGTTTCACTTTTACTTCATCAAAGTCACGCTTTACACGGTGACTCTAAACAAAGACGAAAGAAGCACTGACATCAGATGCATGACAAACCAAAATATGAAAAAATGGAGATGTTAATTAGCATAGAAATTGGGTGGGTTAAATACTTGGGTGAGTTTTATATGTGATTTTTTTTGTTCAGATTAACTGCTTATAGCCTTAGAAAGCCTTTACAAAATAAAAACAAAAAAATAGATGTGCATTCAAGTTTTAAGAATGGATTCATCCAAAGGAATTCCTTTTTGTGGTTTGGATGTTGCAGCTAGTAAAGGATATTTTTGCTCTGTTCAGCAAAGTGCTGAAGTGGGGGCCAGGTCACTGGTAGCGTAGCGTGGAGTGGAAGAAGCGCGAGTTCGGTTGTAGAACTCTCCATACTTCCAAGTTTACTGCGAGTTTTTATGCTTGAGAGAGATGCTTTATAGTATAAGAATGATGTGTTGATTTTACTGATTGTACTGTACATCTATTAAAGCCTTAGATTATTACATTACGGGTTAAAACCCATACCAATGTAATTTCAATCGTGTTAAGAAAGTATAGGTGACTTCACATGTTATTGTAGTTACTTAACATTATAGAATATTACTTATTTTTTTCTTGTTAAAAGTGTAGTTTTTATTTCTTACATTTATTAGATTGTTTTCATTTTCTATTACCAGTTGAATACCATTTCAGTTTATAGAATTTTGTTTTATTAGAGTTTACTGATGACTTTTTCAAAATACAAAAAAAAAAAGTAGTTTTCTTCATAACATACTCAGTTTTGAATTTACATGTAGTGTCATATGAGTATTCGTATTATTGTTAACTAAATGATTTATATTTTACTGATTTAATATTACAATGTAAGAATGTCAGTCATTGTTAGTTCTTGTCTAGTTTTCATTAAAAGAACAAAGATCTTTTATATGGATATCTTATAATTATATAATCATTGCTAAGTAAGAAGTTAAGTTGTTGCTATCGCAACAATCCTGGCAGACAATTGAGTAATATTTTGATGATTTATTTTGTTTGTAATTAGTTATTATGAGAAAATCTAGTTCCTAGATATTAGAATAAAATTTATTTTCTACTGTATCCATTTCAAATGTTAAAATATTGTTTAAATATTTTTTGAAATCCCTGAATATCAGGCCTTGTTATAAATAAGCTGCATAATCAATAGATCAAGGGACTTTTTGTTGATAATCCAAATACTCAAAGTTTACGTAACAAGAATTATAGTGTGTGTGTGCAAACTCTTGAGGGTTGATTATGCTGCAGTTAGCATGTGGGAACGTATAGAGAGAAGGTTGACTTTTTGCACTTCTGTATATAGTCAAAAAAGAGAGAAACCTGTATAATAGTAAGATCTTATTTTGAATAAAAATGTCTATAATTACAAGGAGTTTTGTTAAGGCTAATAAAATGACAGGCTGAACAAAATTGCTTGCAAAAGTGGCACAGAGTTAGCACTCCATACCCCTTCAAAAAAGTTGCTTTGCTTTATGTGGACAGCTTGTAGTTTGCCAGGATTTTTTCAGCTGGAAAGATATGCCATCCTTCCAAGATCTCATGACTGACAAAAGCTCCACTGGTTCAAATCTGCCTGAAAATCATTAATAAAGAAAAAAAGAAAAAAAAAAAGAAAAAAAAAGTAAAAAAAGCAGGTACTTCAAACCATCAAGGTGAAATCATGGATCAAATATTCCGTACATTATTCAAAAACTACTGCATGTTTAAAGTATCAGAAAAATATATTAAAGATATATGCTATTCAATCCAGTTTCTGACAATTTCAGTGGTTTATTGTTCACAAAAAAAGATTCTTCAAAACAAATACTGACTTTCACAAAAGAGTTAAATCATGAACAGGCAAACCAAACAGCACACCGTAGCTGTAGTTGTTATGTGATTATTTTTTATTGCTGTAGTGGTCCTGTTCTTTTAGCAGGTGAAAAGGAAAAAAAAAAAAACCCAAACCCTGGGAAATTTTACCGTTTTAATGGAAAGCGTTCGAGAAACCTTGTCATTGTATAAGCCAAAGCTGGGAAGAAAAAGCGATTAGGCCATTACTTGATCTGATCTCTCCAGTACTCACACTGAATAATTAATGAAGTTGCACTTAACTTGCAACCCCGCGACTTTCATCTGCTGAAAGGACAGATGTGCTTGGTTTTACTATTATGTAATCACAGACTTACTTTTCGCTTGTAGTTGCTCCAAATTATGTACTCTGTCCTGGGCTGCAATTTGTTTTTATGCTTATTTTATTATTACTGCTATAGTTGACCTTGCTGTATGGAAAAAAATAAAGTGAAATTGCCCTAATAAAAATTCTCTTTCTTAATTATGTTTTTCTATTATCAGGTCCAAAACTGCACCCCTTTCTTTGGTACACATTCGTTCTTCATTTTATCCGCCTGTTCGTTTGACTGAAGGGATATAATTTATTTGTGGAAAACCCCCTACATGCTGCTATGGGGTTTTTTCCTTCACCAGTGTGTTAAATGCACAGGATGTATATATTAAGGAGGCTAAGTATACATGATATTATTGTGAAATCCGGAGGATATATAGAAAGCAACAGGATACCATAGATCCAGAGCAAGCTGTTGTTACCCTCTTGTGGCCACACTTCCAAGTGCAGGGAAAAGAAGGGGACCCTCGACATCTGCCTGCCCCGGTTTTGGTGCCCGCAGCGGGCATACGGGGGTGCGGCGAGGCGGTGGCTGACGTTAGAGGGAGCCCCGTTTCCACGCGTTGCTGTTGCTTGATCGGTCTCACACGATTCACTCTGATAATGAAAATTATTGACCAAAAAATCCCAGGCTTAATTTGGAAAAGGAAACGCGTCGGAACACTTGTTTTCTACCAGGATTTCGGGTGTCGCCTGTGTAGTGCAGTCTGAGAGACCTCGCAGGATTTCACAATCGCCTCGCGGCGTTTCAAAGGCCGGTTTGATTTCATTTCTCAGTGCATCAGGACGCCTCATTCCTATCAGCGCACCACCCACCCTCATTTGCACTGCGCTCGCGTCGATACTTGCGATGACACCAGCATTTTAATTTGTTGTTGCATTTAGCTTCCAAGTTAAAAAATAGTGTGTCAAGCAGTGCAAATGTTCTAAATTAGCAAAAATAACACGACTCTACGTTCCTCTCTAACCAACAGTTAGACCATTACCCACGGAGGTTCCCGTGGTTAATCAGACGGCTCCGACAGCTGCTATGGGTTAGTGCTCCCGCCACCAGGAGGCTGCTTGGTGGCCCCACGGGAGGTTGGTGTCACACAGGACCCTCCGCCGCAGCCGGGTCAGGTCTGTCCCATCGCACCCGGGCAGTGCCAGGGGGGCTCAGGCCGCAGCCACTGGTAAGCGGGTACCGGGCAGCAGCTCTGCTCGCAGCAGGGATCTTGCCGGAGAGGGGACAAAACATAAAACTGCTCAGATGCTGAGGAGAGCCACGAGAAGGAGCTCCTGGCAAAGCAGCGCCTGCGGCCCGGGAATTCCACGGCCATGGCACCTCGCCGGCCAGGGCTGCAGTGGTAACAACTGCAGCAGCACTAACAACTGTTGTAGTTGTTACAAACCAAATAAAAGAATTTTGTTCAAAGGGATCCACGTGTGTCTGCAGCCGAGCTGCTTTCTGAAACGAGGAAAGGATTCTCAGCCTGTGGGGAAGGAGAGCAGAAACCTGAAAAGGAGTTTTAATTGCCTTTGTGGGATTTGTGATGAGAACAGGGAATGGCATCAGGAAGGAGACAGTAATTCTGAGGGTCGTCTTGCATCCAGATATTAGTTGTAATTAAAAAAGCCTATTTCCTGCCCAAACAGAGCTAATCACACCACTTTCTGTGGTCCCGGCAGTGGCATCACAGGATGCCCTGGTGCCCCACGCTGGCTGCCAGTGCAGCCTTGGCGCTGGGTCCGGCAGCACCCAGGGACACAGGGCAAGCCGTGGGGCTGGGGAGAGCGGCGCAGCCGGCCTGCATGCCCACCGCGCCGTGCCGTGGGATGCAGCGACCCATCACGGCATCAGCTCCTGCAGCCCCCAGGGTGCTGGGAAAGCAGGTTCGGAGAATTGCACAGGTGCCTGTGGTGGTGCTGAGTGGCCCTGGGGGGCATGGGCATGATGGGGCTCAGCTGGGGGCAAAGGGCTGGAGGCAGCAGGGCAGTGCTGGAGGGAGCTGAGGGCCTCTGGGTGTGCAGGTAGGAGCTGCTTGCTGTTGGTGGCTGGGGTGGGCATGGCTTGGGGGCCCTGGGGGGGAGGTGTTCCAGGAGATGGCTCATCTACAGCTTCAGGAGGACACTAGCGCTGAGGGAGACCTTGCCCTGGTGCTTGCACAGTGCTGGCTGAGGTGTCCTCACCAGGTCAGCCTGGCCAAGGTCCAGCCCAACTCACCTGGTTTCTGGTTAATGGTGCAGAACGGTGGTGGGGCTGCAGTGCCGTGGGATTCCCCTTGGGTTTATGCCTCTGTCATGGCTCTGAGAGCGGGTGATCAAAGTGCAGGATGGTAACGGGCCCTTGATGCTGCTTTTAAGGAGTTAAGGTGCCCAAGGTGGTGGGGCCTTCCATGGGGGCCTGCCTGCAGCGTAGGTGCACCCCCCTCAAAATGCTTTCCAGCATATTGCTGCGCAGCACTGTCGGGTGTTGGAAAGGCATGGCTGAAAGCCCCCAGCGCAGCTGCTGTAACTGGTGTTACTGATGGCTGGTGGTGTGGGGAAGCCCTGCCGGGGGTGGGATGGCTGGTGAGAGCAATGGGACCTCGTGGTGCTCCCACAAAAGCTCCGTCTGGTGAAGGAGCTGTGCCATGTGCCGGAGGAGACCCGAGTGCCACGCGCGGCGTTCGTGGCAGGGTGCCCTGCACTGGGTGCCCGCTGCCTGCAGCCCCTGGGGCTGGGGGGAGGTGGGAACGTTGCTCTCGAAGTCAGTGCGCTGGTTTTTATGGAGTTGGCGAAGGCGTTAGAAGGTGCGTTATCCTTGTGCTAATAAACCACAGGAGGAAATGAGTCACAACGCTATTTCAGGAATCACAGGGAATAAAAACGCAGTTGCTCCCAAGCACCCTGAAAGTGCGCCGGGGGTACAGCCGAACAACATTCATCAGCTAGATATTCTCAGTACCTAAAAATAGCCCCTTTGGAGTCTTTTACCCATCACAGGAATTTAACAAGCTTGCTGTGGCATATATTGGCAATTACCTGGCACCAACAGGGAAACATTCAATTAAATAATGGCAAGAGAAGAGGGAAAATTATGAGATGGGAAAAGACAGGTTATGCTCTTCTGAGAGCAAACAGCACGGGGCACAGTGCTGCACGTTCAGCCCCCATGGGGCGACGGGAGTGGGGTCCTGCCCTGGCAGGCACCCTGTGAGGGGTGGGATGGGGGTGCCACGGGCATGGTGTGGGCCTCGGCTTTAGGGGTGAAGAGAGGAAAACCGCTTTGACTGTTCTCGCATACCCTCCGCTACCAGGTGCTGCAGGGGTGGGAGGCACTTGTGGTGCTTCCCGAGGATGGGAGCTGTATCTGAGTGCTCGGGAGAGCGAGCCCACCCTGTCCCCCAGGATGGGAGTGAAACCAGGGGGCTGAGTGCAGGCGCCTGAGCCATGGGGTGCTGGTGAGATGCCCAGATGGGTTTGGCCAGGAAGGAGGTGGGATGCTCATGCTGGAGAGCAGCATCCACACCAGAGAAAACATCCCGTTGTAAGGGAACTGGTTTTTCTCTGCTCTTCCTTTGGTGCTGTTATTAATTCCAAGCTGTCCTTGCCTGGATGTGCTGGTTACCCAGCCCCGGCTGTATACGGAGCGCACAGCATTTGGGGCTGTGCTCGCCGTGGGGACAGCAGTGTGCTGCGTAGGGACGGGCACTCGGCCCCGGGAGCAGCTTCGCAGCTGGGCTGGCACAGCCAGGGCACTCTGCAGGGGCACTGCAAAACACTGTTTAAGGAAAACAAAACAAGCCCTTCTGTGAAGCAGTGTTGCTAATAGCCTTTTCCACCCATGTCTCGTTTTTCTTTTCTTTCTCTTCGTCTGGTCAAGGAAAAGGTCAGCAGTGGAACTTGCTGCTTTCTACCTTCCTCTCAAGTACAGCTGGTTTTTCAGAGCTCTAAACTCTCCTTTATACAAAACGGCCTGTGTATCTTATTGTTAGCATTAGTAGGGCTGCAGCGTCACGGGGGAAACTTCTGGGGCGACAAGCTGACCTCTGCTGAGTGGGCAAGTCTCAGCCCAGCTGCTTATCTTGCTGAGGCTGAAAATAGACCCCTGTGTCCTGCCGATAGCACGCTCACTGCGGGTCAGGCACTGGGTCTTGCCATCGGCATGTGGAAGAAAATCTCCCGGTGCTTGTTTGAGCATAGAGTCTATCTTGGTGTTTGGGGAGGGGGGGGGTGGCAAATCCAGGTGGACCTGCCCAGGGTTGTGCCTTCGTGCAGTGTCAGGCCACAGAGCCCAGGTGGCTTTGGAGGGGTTTTGCTTGTCCCCTTCCCTCTTCTCCCCGCACCCACCTCTTTCCAAGCAGCCGGGATCAGCGGTGCCTGCCCTTGCTGTCTGTGCGCTTGGCTTTGGTGCCCCGCAGCAGAGCTGCTCCGGTGCTCACCGGCAGTTTCAGCAGGGGCACGTTTAATGCCGGGTGAGTTTGGGGGCTGGCTGGGCACTGGGCAGTGGCAGCAGTGCCGCAGCCCAGGGTGCCACCGGCTCCGGGGGCTCCCTGGGCACACGTGCACGGGACCTGCCGTGGTGGAAGCGTGAGGTGCTGGAATCCTGACCAAGCGTGAAGAAGAGCCTGGCTCAGCGCTGAGCTCTCTGTTTGTGTGTGCTCATTAGTGGTGGATGAAAACCAGCGCTGGGCACGGACAGCCGCTGTGCTGCCCATCTGTGGGATGTGCTGCATCTCATTTCACAGGGTATTTCTGCTGCCAGTCAGAAAGTGTGGCAACAGCCTGTGGGGGTGCACACATCCAGCCTGGGGC